TGTATTCGAATTTATACGGCAAAGTGATAACCAAACTCAATAGAATAAACTAACAAGGGAATACCAACTACTTAACGCATCGCATCCTCCTCAAACACTTGTCGCAGACAATCACATGCCATACACCTTGACGCAGATGGATCAAAGATGTTATCGACCCTTGCACCCCCTAAAATCTTTGACTATGGTCATGAAGGATGAAGATGAAGAGATGGAACCCAATTCAGTCAACACCTCCATCATTGACTGGCATTAAATAACAGCATACCATATGGTATGAAAAATACCACCCCATACCAAGGTGGTATAGTATGGTATAGAGTTGGTAACGAGAGGTATGAAATTTTTTCACCCAGAAAATTTTGAAATCCAATAGATCATAATTAAATCGTTCCTTCTGTGCAAAAATTTCCGAAAACGACTAAACAACGAAAGAGATACCATATGATATGGATTTGGTAACGAGAGGTACGGATTTTTTTTCTCAAAAAATATTGAAAATGAATATCATTCACCTCGAACTTGTTCCATTTGTGCAAAAAAAAAAAAAAAATTGAAATCTGAGTTAGAATGAAGAAAATATGATCTAATCAAGAAAACTAGGGAAAATAAATTACTTTAATTCTCCAGCCACTTAAAAAAGGGTCCAGATTTAGTTACTCACCTTAAAGTTACTCACTCTATCTTAGAGCACCGAAGTTGTCGCCCTCTCCCGAGTTTCGTGGTTTCGGAGATGTATCGTGTTTGATGTTTCCTATATAGCTCTAATCGCAGATTATATCAAGGGGAGCTGGAGAGTTTAGCGAGCAGGCCGCTCTGGAATTCCCTCCTTTCCCTTCAATACCCTCCCCTCTCACCCAAATCGACCAATTGGCGGCCACCATCAGTGCCTCCCTTCTATCCATCCTGTCTCTTCCACGGTCTCCCCAACCTGACCGATCGGCAGCTGAGAAAGTTAACAACTTCGTTCTCTACCTTACTGGCACCGCCGGATAAGCTACCATGTAAACTCTCGAGCCGTGATAGATTGGCGGTGGAACATGGTTCCAGATCCAAAGATGGGGAACTCCATTCACCGATCTTTTGGCGACTTGCCAAGCCAGCTCCACTGGTCGGCCATCTTGGACCACGAGGTCTTGTAATCCATTCGGTGACAGTTTACATGGTAGCTTATCCGTAGGTGCTATTGTTTGTGAATGTTTTCCTCTTTAGGTTTTGCTTTGATTAATTTATGATGTTTTGTTTGGGTTATGAAACGAATCTGGCGATTTCTTTTACGTTGATGTTGCTGATAGCCAGCTTGAAGTATTTTTCAACTATAAACTCCTCGAGGATCAAGGGCATTGACCTCAAAGATTTAGATGAGTTACATGTTCTGGTCAGTCACTTTAATTTGTAAGGTACTAACATTTCTAAAGTTTTCTTTCCTATAGTTTGGGTTCTTAGAAGGCACTGACAGTTGAAGCCTGAAATAATCTCCTGTTAGAGACGAATAGTAGGTTATCTTCATAATAAAAAGGGACCTCTGCTATCATGTATTTTCCTCATTATGTGTATTGTTATGCTGGTAGGGGTTGGAAATTGAAGAAAAGGAATGGAAGGTAAATTCCATTTGATCTCCTGTTCTCCTGTTAATCTGGAGCTTTCTAATATGAATTTTCTCCAACATGGATTATATATCGATACAAAGAAATTTAGAAGGATTTTCTTGGTCTATTTCATTTTTGTAGCTATAAATTTGAGATGCTTCATGCATATATGAATCTTATGATGTCATGTTTAACATATCCCATAGTTAGGTTAGGTGGGTTCCTCTGATTGATGGATTGATGTTTTAATTTATTCATTACTTTGGCTTATGCTTTGGTACAGACTATAGAGGTTCGGTAAATTTTTGTATGCAGCTGGACGAGAAGGCACTGATGTAAAGAAGTGATTGTACACAATGTAGAAGCCATCTACTGAACCATTTAAACATGGTTAGCTAGATATATAGATGTTTTGGTATGTCTATTTTGTATTTATCTTCCACCATATTCCAACTTTCCACATTATGTAAAACATGAAAAGTGGGTACGCTTTTTTGCCCCAAAGACCCTAAACACTGTCTGATCACTTCTTGGCGTGTAGCGCACAAGTAGTGGAGAAGCTCATCCAACCCATTTTCTTCCCTCGCTTCGCGTAGCCGTACTCCTATACCCCTCGGCGTTCACCTCGGCGCCTCGGCCTTATCCTCAGTCCAGCAACCGCAAGTCACCGCCCATACACCACAGTCATCGGTACTGTGAACGTACCTTGCCTACTCTCAATTTCCCCAGAAACAAGCATTCACTGGTCATGTCTATCTCTTCCACGCACCTTTGGTGGGAGAGCTTCGCCAAACAGCTTCCCCCAATCCTTCCACGCACCAACGGATCCTATCTTCCCTCATTTCCGCTTTGTTTGGCAACGAGGGGGGTGCAAACTAGAGGAGGATGCAAATTGATGTACAAATTAGAGGGGGGAGCAAATTTAATATGAGTGTACGTTGGGGGTAAATTGTTGTTTGGAAGAAAAAGCGAGGGTGCAAAATGTTATATATTATATAAGTTTTAATATAATAATTATTATTTATATAAAATTTTTTAAAAAATTCAACCTAACCCTACCTCCTTCCTTCCTCGGCCCCACCTTCTCTCTACTTTTTTCTTTCCTTCTAACTCCCTGGGCCCACCATGTTCCTCCTCCATCAGTCCCCTCCCTTCCCCTCTCTTCTTCTCTCTTTTGCACCCCAATTTGGGAGGAAGGTGAAACAGTAAACTTCCCTCAAGATGCCCACCCCAGCAACTGTTCATTTCTAACCAAACGGGCGCAAAATTCTTGGAAATGACATTTACCCCTCAAGTTTTGCACCCCCTCTATTTCCTCCTCTTCCTAAACAAAGCATTCAGCAGACGACCATACCTCACCTTGCCAATGCCGATCATACACGCAAATCTGCAACTGTCCTCTTTTATGTGTCCTACCATCCTTTTGCCGCTTCCCTTACCTTTTTCCGAATTTCCAGGTAGTGCTTTTTGGTGCCACACGGCACCACTGCCTAACACTCTTCCAAACACGCCACCGCCCATGAATCGACTGTACTCACACTGCTCAGCTCGATTAGGCCTCTGGTCTATCTGTAAGTTTTCCTTCTATCTCTTTTTGATTGTTCTCTCTGCGACCGAGTTCTTAGTTTTTCTCCAAAAGCAGCGCACTCTCATGTCCTGTGTCGGTTTTCCCTTCTCTCTATGTGATTTCTCAGTTCGTTTTCGCCTTTCTTTGCAGCTGGATCAATTTTTCCGACGTTTCGACGTGGTGATAGCCAGAACCTGTTTCGGTGCCTGAACGACAAGGGTCGGTTCCTGTTCTCTAAAGAAAGCAGTTGTTTGGGATACGTTATAGGAGGGTGTGTTTATGTTTTTCAAGCTCTCGATATTGGACAAGCTTTCCTGTCTCTGCGACCTCCTAGATCAGACTTAGTTAAATCTCAGGTAACGTGAAATTCTAGACTCTCTTGCCATTTTTTTGTCCACGTTGTTTACAGTTCATGTTCTCACCTGAATCCTAGAAATCAAACCCTTGCTTGCTGAATCCTGGGTTATTTTCAGCCTCCTAGGTTGGTGTTCAGCAACTCCATCCCAGTCGTTGTTGGTTTCCCGCACTTGCAGATCCCCAATGGATTGCGCATAAGCTGCTGCTCAATGTCGCCATTGCTGACCAGACGATTCATCTCAAACTCTGTGACTCCGTCTGCTTCATATATGGGTTCATACTCTCCTTCAAACCCTGGTCATGGCGTCAACTAGGAAGGAAAAGAGGAAAGGCAAGAAGAATATGAAAAGAAAGCAGATGAGGAAGGAGATGGCGGCGAGGGGGAGAGGAGGAAGTGAAAGGGATGAATGATCCAGAAGAGCATAAATGTTATGAATTAGGAGATGGTGGAAGAAGAGAGGTTGAGAATGGAAAGTAATAAAAAGCAGTTCGAAAAGAGGGAGAAGAAGTTGTTGGAGAAGATGGAGTAGACGAGGAAGATGCAAGAAGATAAGTTGAAAAAGAAGAGGTGCAGGAAGCTAAGAGAAGATTTCAAGTAACTTTCATCTCTTCTCTTCCTTTTTGTGCTTTGGGTTTATTCCAAATGGTGACATTTTCGTTTTGCAATGTCGTGTTGGTTGTTTAGAAAGTTTGGGGAAGGCTAGAGAAATGGTAACTTTTTCGTTTTCCTTCTTGGTTCCTCGCTTGAATGCTTCTGTACCTCTGGCAGACTCCAATTGAAGATGGATGTGATGAGGATAGTAATTGGAAGTACTTGCTCGAACCTAGAAGAACCAACGGAAATTATCTGGCAAGGAAATGAGATAATTTGTCAAGTGAAAAGAGTTCGATTCCTAAACAGAATGCGGATGTAAAAAGGAAAAGGGTAGAAGCAATACTTGGTTGTGTTTTTTTACAAGACTTTTAAGGTTTGCCATTTTGGATCTCAATGGATGCATTTTAAATTTGCAGGATGCCAATATACATATTTTCAATACTATTGCGCCAAAATTGGAAGCTTCCATTCTTTCACCACAAGAGATGCTTGCAGAATGTTGCTCAACAAGTCCCAAACTTCGGTACTGAATTGTGAACAGGTAGACTTTCGTGTTGTTCATTTGTGAATTATTACTGATCATGATGATGGTTTTCTGTTTTACACACTTCAAATCTTCAATCATCAAAGTTAACTAATGGCTTAATTGCAAATTTGGTCACTCGAATTGCTACAAAATTTCACGTTTGCCACTCAAATTAATTTATTCCATTTATATCCTGTTAAATTAGGTTAACAGTCCAAGTTTGGTCAATGGCCGTTAGTCTCCGTTAACTTTTGCTGATGTGGCGATCAACCCTTATAGTTGACCGTTAAATGCATGACGTGGCAATTAAAAAATTTAAAAAATTTAAAAATTTGAAATTTAAAATTTCCACCTCAACTACATCGGTTACCTTCCAACGTTTCCACGTCGGAGGAAGAAGTAGTCGCTCCAGTCGAGGGTGGCGCCTTTCTCGACCCCGAGGCGGCTGCCGTACCCTTCGTCGGAGACGGGGTCGTTTGCGTACTGCTGCTTGGAGTCGAGGGGGAGGTCGAAGAACTCCCGCCAAATCTCCCGGATGTTCCTCATCTGATCCACGTCGACACCGTGGTTGACCACCTGGAAGAACCCCCAGTCCTTGCACGTCGACGACAGCCGCCGCAGCGTCTCCGACGTCACGGATGGGTCGTGGGAGAAGGCCTCCTCCAGGTCGATCACCGGGATGTTGCTGACCACCGCGGCGGCGGCGTTGTGGTTGAGGGATGGGCGGTGGGAGGGTGGCTTGACGTAGCGGTCGGGTATCTTTCGGATCACGCTCTCGGATAAGGACTGGACTCGGACCATGGGTTCGGCGGTTACCTCCCGATCTCGCCCAGCTCCTTGAATAAGGTGATTTCATTTACAATTTTACTCCTCTGTTTCCTCGCTTTCTTGGATCTCCCCCCTGAATTTCATTCTTCCTCGATTGATCATTCTTTCTCTCCCCCGCCGTCGAAGTTGAATTCTGCCTCCGAATTTTGAGTAGAGTCTTCCCTGTATTCTCCTGATCCATGTACCCATTCGACAACAGCGCCCTCTTCTTCCAGCAAGACGCGCTCTCATAAGTCACCGCATCGCACAAGCAATCGCTCAAACAGAGCTCCCGACACATATCCTCCGAGATCGACTGATAATACTCGTAATCCCCTGCGGGAAGATTGTATTAACCATCTCCACCAAATCGAACTGCCCATCCTCCTCTCCCCCCGAAGAAGAACAATCCTGCGGCGCGAAAGTCTTCACCTTATTCGACGAAGCTGGGCGAGATCGGGAACAGGGGAGGGCAAAAGGGGGAACGAGGATCGAGCTTTGGGAGGCGCCCAGCCGGAACGCCACCTCTCCGACGGTGGCTTCTTCTTCTGCCCCGCTCAACCAGAGCGCGAAAGCGCAGTATTTTCTCCTCCGACGCGGAAACGTCGGAAGGTAACCGCCATAGTTGAGGTGGAAATTTTAGTTTTTAAATTTTTTAATTGCCACGTCATGCATTTAACGGTCAACTATAAGAGTTGACCGCCACATCAGCAAAAGTTAACGGAGACTAACGGCCAGTGACCAAACTTGGACTGTTAACCTAATTTAAGTGACTATAAATGGAATAAACTAATTTGAGTGGCAAATGTGAAATTTTGTAGCAATTCGAGTGATCAAACTTGCAATTAAGCTGATAACTAATTGTTTATCTTTGAACTTACCTGCCGATGACAGGATAAAGCTCTAAAGACGGGAGAGGAAGGAAGGGAGAGGAGAGAAGAAGAGAAGAGAAGAGAAGAGCAACATGATAAAAGAATAAGAGCAGTCAAGCAAAAGCAACTATGCGCTTTGCATTGGCTCAAATACAATTGCAGCATGAACAAATAACATAAACAGAACTATTATGGAGTTGTGTCAAGAGCCTGACTGAGGTAAGCATTTCTTTAGTGAGATGGCAGTTTCCATTTATTGAAACATGAATTGAACTCATTTCCCTTACCGTTGTACCATTTAATCTTTCTTAAGGATGTTAGTCCAGGTATTTTTTCGAGAGTTTTATTTTTTATGGATGCCTTCCTATTAGACATTCTTAATTGGTTTTCATTCCCTTTTCTAGATATCTTTAAGCTCATTTTGGTAGAGCTGCTTATTTATGCCATTTCAATCAGCTGTGAGCTTGGTCTTATAAGCAAAACACTGTTATTTGCTCTCTATTCAGAGGGTCAAAATGTTTACTGACCACTCAAGCGTGGCACTTGAAAGTGGAACTTACTGCATATTGTGATTTGACGTCTGCCATATACGGAACCGTGATGCTAATTTTCTCTGTGTTTTGTATCTAGTATCCTGTATCATGCAAATTTTTATTTCATTTCCCCGTCTTTAAGTGATTGCAGATGCCTTGCTTAGAAGGTAAAATAAGAGTATCCACAAAATCAGCTATCTGTTGTTTCCATCAACTTTCCGGTTGTTCGTGCTGCTGTGGTGTACAATTTTTCTTGATACATTGAGGATCAACGTCTATAAGAAAGGCGCTAACTTGAGCACACAATCTGGCGTCCCCATTAAGCTATAGGTTCACAAATCTCACATTTTGGATCGCTTTATGTTTGATAGGCAATGACTGGAATTTATTATCTTTACAACGACGAATTGAGTTGATCATCTGAATTGCCATTTCTAATTAGTTATTTGTAAGGTGTGCTTGCTGAATTATATAGAATATTGAAACTTGTTGTACTATATGGGCTTAGTAAGTTTGTCTTGCATGACCAGAATGTCTAAGATTTTTAACAAAACATAGGGTATTTGCTTCTGTATATAATATCTAATTGTTTTGTTATCACTATGCTTTAGATATGCTAAAAATAGCTAAATCTCTTGTGGCGTAGCCACGAGTATTGATACTAGTCTTATAATAAATGGCAAAGCTGCCTTTGTACAAGAACTAAAGTCCCAAGCACAATCTCAATTCTTGGACAAGAGAAGATCAACTATAATCAATCATAATCTTCAAGGTACGTCTCTTTTGCTTTGACTGACGAGAATTTGTGCTCCCACGCCAACCAAACCTAATCTCGATTCTTAGATAAAAAGATTACCAACTATGATTTGATCACAAGAATATTGAAAGTTGGCTTAGAAAGTGTAAGTTAGTAAATCTTCATGAATGATGGAAGAGTAGAGTTACAAATTTACTACACTTCTGGTACAGGGAGGTGGGCAAATTGGTACTTAAACTTAAAAGGTAGGTTAGGATTGGATTTTAAGAATATCCACCTAAATTGAGACGTAATCTTCTTGAAGATTAGTTTTAGGGTTAATTGCATGGTTGGTCACTGAGATTACAAAAAGCGTTCATGTTCGGTCGCTAGAAATATTTAAATCCAATCTTTGTCACTCAAATTAGTTAAATGGTTCAAGTTTGGTCACTCTCCGTTACCTTCCGTCAGTCTCCGTTAACCGTCAATTATTTGCTGACGTGGCTAACAGACTCACCTAGTCACCTATTTTTGACAAAAAGAAAATAAAATCCAATCCTGCCATGTCATAAAAGCTTTGCCACATCATAAAAACCTGACCAATGTGACCCAACCCATTAACCCATGATCTGACCTACCCCAAATTAAAACCCAAAATTGACCAATCCTCAAAATCCCTCCTATCGACCATCCCCAATTCCTCCATCGTCCCTTCCAATCTCCCTCGTCGATTTTCCACTCCCTTCAACTTCCACCATCTTCCTCTCTCTTACTTCCAGCCGAAGGATCTGAATCGTCCCAGCCACATTCCTCTCACTCTCTGCTTCTCTACTTCCTCGCCCTCCATTCCATCTAGGGGTGTTCAAACGGTTTGGTTACCATGGTAACCGTTTTAACCGGTACTATTAGGATAATTTTGTTTGGTTAATTTGGATAATTGGTTTGGTTTGGTTAAAATTTTTAGCTTGTTTGGTTTACGTGGTTTGGTTTGGTTTCAGACACTCATAACCAGTCAAACCAAATTAACCAGTTAAGTAATTAGTCATATATCTAACATATATTATATACAAATACTTAATACTTTGCATAACCACTCAAGAGTTAACGTTCATTCCTTTTAGACTCATAAAATATAAAGCTCAATATTGCTCATATAGTGTATATTTGTATATGTAAAATGTAGACCACAACATATGGACGCCTAATTTAGATAAGTTTCATACTTTATGATGGATGAAAACTTGAAAGGAAGGTCATTTCCAGCCTATGATAATTGCTAAGAGACTAAGTCAATTTACACAAACACAACAATTAATTAACCCATACCATTGTCATAAATTTTTGTTAGGTGAATACTTCTATACTAATCGTAAGATAATTGTCTTAGTTGCATGTATTTTTGTTAAGGGTCAACTATAACTATGTGTTGGTGGTTATGTTTTATTCATTATATAAATTGCAAATTGTTGCATTAACCGAAAAATTTTCATCGTCAATGATAATGTGATTTTATGTTGGTTAATCTGGTTAACCAATTAACCAAACCGATTAAACTTTAGTTTGGTTAATTTGGTTGTTGTATTAGTTTGGACGGTTTGGTTATGATATTGTATTCCATGGTTAATGGAATTTAGCCTTATTTGGTTTGGTTATAACCATGGTAACCATTTGAACACCCCTAATTCCATCCATGCTCGCCGTCCAGAGCCTAGAAGATGGCCTGATTGGCGGTGAAGTGGGAGAATTTGATGAGCGGCGAGATCCAATTGTAGGACTGGAAGGCGGTGAAGAACTTCTGCGACTGGAGCGCGTGGGCGAAGTACGCGCCGACGCGTTGAGGGGAAGAGCCGAAGGGGGAGGAGAGCTCGGAGATTTCGGGGAGGAGATATGTGGCGTCGTCGAGGTTCTCCATGGCGACGCACTCCGCGCATTGGAGGAGGAGACACAGAAGGCGGAGGCCGGTGGACTCGCCGCCTTCGACAGAGACGGCGGCGGCGACGGAGGAGGAGGGGTCTTCTTCTGCAGGCTCGCTCTGCTCGCCGGCGGAGAAGTTGGGGCGTTTTGCGGAAGGGTCATCGTCGCCGGCGAGGTCGCAGTCGACGCGCTTGGTGAGGGGGCGGAATTGGGGGAGATTGGGGATCGGAGGAGCAAGCTGTGAAGCATGTCGGAGGATTGGTGGGGAAAAGGAGAGGGAAGGGAGGAGAAGAAGGTGGGAACAGGGAGGAGGATAGAGAGATTCGAAAGGCGGAGAGGTCTGGAGGGGAAGGGGACAAAAGCTCGGGAGTGAGTACAATCGACGAGGGAGATTGGAAGGGACGATGGAATTGGGGATGGTCGATAGGAGGGATTTTGAGGATTGGTCAATTTTGGGTTTTAATTTGGGGTAGGTCAGATCATGGGTTAATGGGTTGGGTCATATTGGTCAGGTTGTTATGATGTGGCAAGCTTTTATGGCGTGGCAGGATTGGATTTTATTTTATTTTTGTCAAAAATAGGTGACTACGTGAGTCTGTTAGCCACGTCAGCAAATAATTGACGGTGTTAACGGAGACTGACGGAAGGTAACAGAGATTGACCAAACTTGAATCATTTAACTAA